CCTCTAGCACTCAAAACGGACACCATACTTCGAGACCACATTGAATGAGTATTTTGTATTATAACACCTCTTCTGTACAGCAATAATGTGTGAAGGCCTTTGTCCCCCCCCCCCCCCCCCCCTTTTTCCACCCCCGCCCCCAATAACACAAACGAGAGGAAAGGGTTGTTAAAAGAAGGGAGGGGACGAGGATATTGACAGGATGAATAAAGAAAGACAGCCGCACACAGTGGCAAAGAATAGGACACTGTCCTATATTTTGCTGAGCGTCTTAGCTCATTTTGCAGATAGAGAGCACAAGAGTAAGGAAAAAAGTAAAGTAAAGATCCCTTTTAACGCCTTAAGACGTTTCGGGTATATGGGAAGAGCGCCCATATTTTCACAGACCATCGGCACTAGGTAGGTAATGTGGTCAGCATTACGCCGGCCGTCTTTACTTCCCCAGGACAGCCATCCTGGTACCAATTTTAGGCTGGGATGACCTGCGACACACCATACCACGATAAAATCCACTCAGCCAGCAGTGGGTTTCGATCGCGTTTCGTTGGAATTATGAGTCAGACTCGCAACGCTTAAGTCACGGACGCCGCGAGAGCACAAGAACCAGGAGAAAATTGGCTCTAGGAGGTCCGCAATTAGGCTTCCAAGGAAGTGACTGACTGTAACTGGTCGGTGTTCTTCAAGGTTGTTGACACCCAGCGCTCGTAGAGTATTCAAAATGGATTCGCAAAGCAAATCTCATGATGAAAAATTATTGTTCTTGTATCTTACGTCGAGGAAACTTATACCTGGCCCAGGCGAGGGGCATTACTTAGAATGTACACCAGATTGTACAACTATGATCGACGCCTCAACGCAGACCGACGATTTGATCCAGCCGCTGCAGTTGCAGTCGGGCGATGCGCCGGAAACAGATTGCGAGTTAAAAGAGGCTGAAGATCAGCAGCAACAACAGTTAGAGGAGGTGGAGGCTAAAATCAGCTCTGTTGAGCCGGCAGTCCTGCAGGCTCCATCAGCTGATTTATATGAAGCGGACGAGAATTCGCCCGTGGATATGCCTCCGGACGTCGAATGTAATGACGTCGAGACTTCCGATTCTCCTGGCGAGGCAGCTTTAAATGCAGCCTTGCGAAGAAAGGACTGGAACGACCAGATCGTGTCGCTAGTTCACGAATACGCAAGGCCCAACGTGTTCGACTTTCTAAGTGACCTCCCGTCGCTACACATACTGAGCGGCAAGGCCTTTGTCAAGGCCTTTGGCCCTCAAGCCTATGAAGTTTCGTCTGAACAAAGTTCAAGCATTGAAATCGCTGAACCTACAAAAAAGAGACGATCTTTATTCGGCTGGCTAGCAAGACGGATGAGGTCTGCAAAGGAAGGGGACACCACGCCAGGAGCCCAAAGAAGAAAGAAGAACAGTTTCTTCAGGAAGATCTTCTGTTGTTGCCCGTAGCGCAAACCCGGTATTTGTTTCCTCCAACGGCCCTTTTTAGGGCCACTAAAAATTTAACTTTTTAACAATTTGGTCATGTATAAGAACATACCTAATAAAATTAGTACAAGAAAGTAGAAAGAAATGAAAGTAAGAGGGAGTAAGTGTGACAGGAAAATATATATAAAGAAAAGAGAGAGAGAGAGAGAGAGAGAGAGAGAGAGAGAGAAAAAGAGAGTCGAGAGAAAGAAAGAAAATGTGAGACGGAGAGAGAGGAGAGAGATTGAGAGTGAAAAAAAAGACAAAGAGTCGAGAGAGAGAAGCATATAAGAGAGATGTGAAAAGACGGAGAGGTGAGTACAAAAGGAGTGAGAGATTGAGAGTGAAAAATAGACAAATTGTTGAAGATAAAAAGAGTGACAGACGCGAGAGAGAGATGAGAAAGCATCAATGCAAGAAAGACTCAGACGATATGAACACTAGCAGTTAAGAATGTATGACTGTGAGCCTTAAACTAGATGTCTGGGAGAGGTGAGGTAGAGAGGGAGTCAGCAGTCCTTCATATAGGTATAAAGGAGTCAAGTGAGAGTATTAGAAGGACATAGCAGACTAGAGAGATAGCACACAGGAGTCGGCACACACACACACATACAGCAGTATAAGAGAGGAGAGAGAGAGAGCAGATAACCTCCAGAGAGAGAGCGAGAGTATAACCTCCAGAGTGCAGAGAATAGCAATTACCTCCAACAGCTCGGTCTTCAATGCAATTCCAGGACAAAGTATGTACCTCCAGGAGTCAACACGGTCCTTCATATAGCAGTATAACCTCCAGGAGTCAACACGGTCCTTCATATAGCAGTATAACCTCCAGGAGTCAGCACGGTCCTTCATATAGCAGTAAATCCCATAGGAGTCAGCACGGTCCTTCATAAGCAGTATAACCTCAAGGAGTCAGAACGGTCCTTCATATAGCAGTAAATCCTACATAAGCTTCCTGAGAGACAAGTCGTGCTGGCTCTGCCACGATACCAGATGTAAAAGTGAAGTCACATCCGTTTTACAGATCTAGTTTTATTTGTATATATATATATATATATATATATATATATATATATATATATATATATATATATATATATATACTGTTAGTTGCTCGACTCACATGCAGATGCTCTTCAGCTTCGAAGGAAACACACCTAATTAGTTGCCTATTACTTGTTATTTCTTAATCTCATTGTTCTATAAGCTTCACTGTCACAGCTTCCAAATATTTTGTCACAATCTACTCTTTGTACTTGGTAAACTTCCGTACATCGAGACTGATAGCCTTCATCGTTGTCATCATCATGTGCCGTGCCGATAACGGTAGGCTGCCATGTTTTGCCAACTCACACAGTCACCAGAATCACGAATTAGTTCAATGTTCTTGTCTCGCCCCATCCAGGTATTTATCTCTTTGCTTACCTCTTGCAATCCTGTCGTCAATATTGCCAGTTGTTACCAAGATCTCGAGTCCATTAGTTCTCGTAATATGTCCCCCCAAAATATTGGCTGTCTACGTCTGATTGTTTTAACAACTTTTATCTGTCTCGATGAGGACTGCTTCATGTGTTTCTGTATCCCTCAAGGATATTTTTTGCATTCTTCGCAGAAACAACATCTCTGCCGGCGAGTAAATGTATTTCAGCTCCCGTGCTGCCAACTGTCCATGTTTCACAAGCGGAGGTTTTAAACAGCAATCTAACACTTTTTTTTCTAACTGCAATGATAACCGTTAGCAGTGCACAAAACAACACAGATGGTAAAAAAAAAAATCTTATTAACAGCCGGGAATCATTGCATCAACAAAGTCATGCACAGCAATCAATTACAAAAAAACTTAAGAAAAAAAAAAAATAACATTTGATGACAGAATAAATAGGACTGTCAAAATATCCAGGATTGTCACAGTTTCTGTATAAGCTGCTAAAAACAAAATACGTACTTTCAGACACTGCATACAATGTAATTTCTTAATATAAAATAAACTGTAAACATTCTCTGATAGGGAAATCTACATTCCTTTAAAAGTAACTATAATCATAAACAAGAAAATTATTACAATATACAGCATCTACATTAAGGGATAGCAACATGTTTTGTTAAACAATAGTGAATGCAGACACACACGATTAGATATACAACAAGAGGTTAGCGGAGAGGAACTGATAAGCTAATCTCTACAACTGATGAAAACTACATAAGACCAGAAGGTACAGCCAACCGGTCAATTCATGCTACTAGCCTACTGTTATTACCTTATAACATCATCAGTGCAGTGATGGAAAACAAGCAGCGATTTTAAGTAATTCCTGTAGTTAGTTATTCCTGACTGAGACATTATTTGTGTCATACTATTCTATTGTTTCTGCTTCTATGTCAGTCCACTAAGATTTCTTACCTTGTTTGAAACCTATTACATCATGCGTTGTTATGCTATTAAGTGGTAAGGAAGTCTGGCCAGGTTGTGCCAAAAATATCTGTGATAATTAAGTGGTGCCAAATACTTAAGTTTCCTCATCTCTGAAGTGGTGTTGGATGATTGTTCGAGCTGCGGAGTACCGCCTAGACCAATGCGAGCAGTCGTCACAATAATATATCACTTCAGAGAGTCTCCTATTACTAGGGGAGATCATAATTTAGACACGTGACAAAATCGTCTTGTCACAAACGAAAATAAAAGTGGTGTTTCGTCTCTGGATTTATTTCTTTGCAATCTTTAAAAAGCTTCTATCCTTGGCCAGGAGATTATCCAAAGTTTGTAAACTTTTGTTAACACAGTTTGTGACCTCTCTGGGACAGTTCTTAACCAATAAGGTTGCTCTTGTGAGTGACTGATTGATCCAGTGGTTGTTTTGTATTTGCCTTCCTTCTGTGTTTTTGGTGGAAATCCTTTCTCCGGGAAATTGGAAGTTACAGGAATCTGACTGAGTTATTGCCCATTGCAATCCCAACAAAATGGTAAATAGGCTTAAGGCACGGTTGAGGCTGGCTGTAATTTGAGTTTTTTTTTTTTTATTTTACGTTACCCGTTTTGTGAAATTAACGATTTTTTGGTGGTTGGTGTTTTTGGTGGTTGATATTTTTGTTGGATTTTTTGGTGACTCTTTTGACAAGTCACTGTGGCTCAGTCAAGGATATCCATCCGGGAACTGAAGGACATGGCAGTGCAGGTGGGTTTGAAAAGAAAAGCAATAACAAACTGGAACCAGAAGATTTTTATGAAAAGATCTTAAATGAAAGCAAGAGGCCGCCCTAGGAGAACATTGATAAATGACATTAAATAGTTTCTACATCTACACGGAATGACAATATCTATTGCTGCCCATTAAGCAATAGATCGCAAACTGTTCCTCCCCACAACGATTAACGACAGAAGTGGAAACTAATGATGATGTTGATGATGAATAATGATGATGATGATTTTAAGAAGTTTTTTTTTTTTTTTTTTTTTTACTAGTGAAAATATTAACAGTGAGGACATCTGATAACTTTTTATTTCATTAGCTTTTCCTCCTCTCCCAGTTTTATGTGGAAAGACAATCATATCGAGGATAAATACATAAAATGTCGCAAACAAAGAGATGACCTGTCCAGGCAGCTAAACTTGGCGAAGAAGCTCTACGGACAACAGAACTGTGAGAAGCTCGAGCTTCTGCAAAACAAAGACCAGCAAGTAATATATGTCTACTGTGTTTATGTATTGGCATTCAGTCTGTTAAACGGTTTGTATGTGTATGATGAATGTTGAATGCTGAATTAGGAATCGATGCTCTGTCTCTATCTTCAGCAGCAATTGAAGAGTTCCAATTCCGATGGTATCAGTAACCATCTGATTGTATATCCGTCTCATGCTTCCCCCTGAGTGTTGAGCATCGGCCAGATCCCCTGGTAACTCCTCGCAGCGCCATTCTTCTTAGACCGTAACGATCTATCTGCACCTCCGCACTGTTCACTTGTTTCTCACAATATCTAACGTGTCATACATTATTTCACCATCAAGTGATGTAGAGCCAGCCAGTCTATCTGGCGGCACATTTCCTAACACACGGCATGACCCGGAGAAAATATCCAAAGGATGCCAACTACCCAGGACATCTAAAGTGCTGCTTGCCACTCAGCACAAAGCATGATTTTTTTCACCTTTCTCATCATGCTCTGTAGCCAGCGGAAGGCAGCCGAGACTGCCTCTACCTCTATTCTCAAACTAAACGTTGTTATATCATATTCTAGGCTTTGCTGCACTGTATGTCTATACGTAAGAAGTGAAATTATTATAAGTGACTGCTGTGTATCTGATATCAAGAAGTGCCTAAAATAAAATCCTGAACACTATACAGGTAGCTGGGGGATATACTGAAGACAGGATCCAGCTTTTGGACTTATGCGATGTGAGGATTATCTGTTGATTAGCTAACCAACTAACCAATTACTAGCTAACTAAGTAACTGATTGACTGTCTAACTAGCTAACTGACTGGCTTATTGATGACGGACTGATTAACTGACTGATTGATTGATTGACTGACTGATTTATTAACTAACTGATTGAACGATTGATTGATTAAATAACTGACTCATTTATTGACTAAATGACTGACTAATTGAATAGTTGATTGACTGACTGACTAAGTGATTGACTGACTGACTAATTTATTGAATAACTCACTCACGGATTGATTGATTGACTAACTGACCTATCGATTGATTAACTGATTGATTGATTGACAGACAGACTGATTGACTGACTGATTGATTGACTGATTGATTCTCTGTCTGACCGATGGATTGATTGACTGATTGATTGATTGATTGACTAATTATTTGACTGATTGATTGATTGACTGATTGATTAACTAAATTATCAATGTATAGATTTATTGATTGACTGACTAACGTATTGACTAGCTGATCTACTGACTGATTGATCGACTGACTGATTGATTGAATGATTGACTGTTTGTTTGATTCCGATTCATTGACTGATTCATTGATTTACTGAATGATTGACTGATTGATTGATTTACTGGTTTATTGATTGATTGACTTTTTGTTTGACTGACTGACCGATTTACCGACTGACTGATTGATTGACTGAATGATGGACTGACTGAATGATTAACTGACTGATTATATACAAAGGCTGCGTTTAAAAAAAAATAATTGCGATCTAACAGGCAGTTTTCGAGAAAATAGATTGCAAACGTATTTACGCATCGCGCGTAAAAGCTTTCTCGCCGTTTCTAGCGAATAAGTTGACCAAGTTTCACTGCCATAAAGTAGAGTGCTGAGAACCCAAGCCTGATAAATATGAGTTGTTATTTTAATCGTGAGCTTTAAATTTAACCTTACTTTACCTCGCTGAAAAAACGTCGAATAGGATGGTGATAAGAATGGAGGGGTGGGGCGGGGTTATTGTTTTGAAGGAGTGGTCCCTGAGAATAAAACTTCAGGAATGTGAAATTCTGGTGTTTTCTCTCTTTTTTGTAGAGTCCTTAAACCCTCATTGCTCTTTTTATGTCATCTGCGACTTTTCCAGGAGAGTTAATAAATATTCAATACAACTAACAAATTATAAGGACACACACAAAAGGTAGAATCTACGGTCCCTAGCTCCAAAACTATTCTCAGACAACGAAAGTGACTAGACTTGTAACACATTCCAAATAAAATACCCTTTCCGGAAATGAAATGTCCCATATTCTTTAGCGAGTTTTCCGTGAGCTTGTCCTCTTGTTAAAGCCAGTAAAAAGGATGTACACATAAAACTTTGGTCCTGGTACAAAGTCAAAGTCGAAATAAACGAACAACCAGGATTTTTCGCCTGAACTCACAGCCTGTGAACTCAAAGGATAAGAGTTTTGTGTGATTCTTTAGCTGTTAAATTATTTGTTACATAGATGTGTTTCAATTACATTACTGAACGTAACATTATTAATTACCTCACGTACTTGTAATATTGTTAAATGATGAAGACCCTGGGTGCAGACTGACGTAGCTTGCCGAAAGTTTTAGTAAGTTGAACGAAATGAATCAATCAGTGCAAGGAAAAACAACTGCTGAAGTGTTTGAGTCAAACGCTAAAGTGTCTTCTTTTAAGCGGGGTATTACTTGAAGTGCATGGAAAAGGAAAATATAATTTTTCTCTCTTATAAACATAATAAAAAAAGTAATTAATTAGTAAGAAAATTCGAACGTAAATAAAAAAATAAAAAAAAAAACTTTATGGGTGAAACAAAGAGCATGATTCAAGAACAAATACACACACCTATTCAGACGCATTTGAAGCTTCGAAAGACTCGTTTTCATGCTATTTCCAAGAGCTTAAGAAGGTGTTAGATTATTATTAAAAGATACGGAATGTTTCCAATGTGAAACAAAAACCATCTAGCCTAAACGTAACAGTGTACGAAGTCCTAATAGATTAAACTTTAACAGAGAACTGAAAACCTTATTTCAAAATCAACGTTTGTTTGAGTTTTTGACTACATTTACAAAATGAATTTAAAAATCATGTCTGATAAAGCATAATTAGAATGTACACAGGTACACATCCTTGTTAAGTGAGATTCTCCTAATACAATTATCTTTAAAACAACCACTGAAAAAAAAAAATCAATCTAAACTCAAAAGCAGAGATTCTTCTGCAAATTTTATCCTTTGAACCTGAAATAGAAAAACTGCAAAACAGTTCAACAATAAGTGTATTATGAAAGTGTATTTTTTATTTTTTCATGTTATTGTCTCCTCTCTCTCTCTCTCTCTCTCTCTCTCTCTCTCTCTCTCTCTCTCTCTCTCTCTCTCTCTCTCTCTCTCATACACACACTTACACACACACACATACCTATATTCTTTTTTTCCTTTAACTTTGTACAGTAGTAATACTATATTATCACATGTCGTTACCATATATATATATATATATATATATATATATATATATATATATATATATATATATATATACATACACACACACACATGTTTGTTTACTAATCTTGGTTGGCTCTAGCTTATGTGATGCCGTGAAAGCGTAAAGTGTCTTTAATGTTGACGATCCATGTTTTTCGTAGCCGTCCTTGTTCTTGTCGCTGACCTTCTGAAATATAATGCCTGTGATTGTATTTAATACTGGTGCATTCCAACGAGATGACCAAACCAAACTTTATCTTCTGTTTCTCGGTGAATCCAGTAAAAGGTGTCGTTCTCACAAAATGTCTAAAATATTATTATTCACTCCATCTTGATTACTAAGAGTTTTAAAAACATTAGTAGTATGTTATGACACACACCCACGAATATTAAACGATTTTATCGATTGTTCTTTGTTTTTATTGAAGGTTGATGCAAGAGTCTCAGAAAGCGGAGGATGGTGTGCCAAAATGAGTAGTGCTAACAGCTCTGAACATGTATGGGACAAGGTATGAATCAGAACGGTTACATTTAGCGCAATATAAATGACAATATCATCAGGCTTAATTTCATATCGTCAGGATAATAGTTGTTAGTCTTGTGTTTAACTTGTCTCATTACATTACTGTTCCTATCTACTCTCCAACGCCAGGGTGATAGTTGTCAGTCTTGTGTTTAACCTGTCTCATCATATCTCCACTGTTATTATCTACTTTCTAACGCCAGAGTAATAGTTGTCAGTCTTATGTTTAATATTTCTCATCATATCTTCACTGTTATTATCTACTTTCCAACGCCAGAGTAATAGTTGTCAGTCTTGTGTTTAACTTGTCTCATCATATCTGTACTGTTATTATCTTCTCTCCAACGCCAGAGTAATAGTTGTCAGTCTTGTGTTTAACTTGTCTCATCATATCTGCACTGTTATTATCTTCTCTCCAACGCCAACGTAATAGTTTTCTGTCTTGTGTTAAACTTGTCTCATCAAATCTGCACGGAAACGGACACTTAAACGGATGGGTAAGGTTGCTGAGAGGGCCTCGAGCTGACTTTGGACGCAACGGAACAAAGTAGGGGACGGGCCTCGGTGAGCTGGTCCGGGTGTCTAGTGAAAAAGATTTTCTCATGCCTTGAAAGTCCATCGTGTCCGAATTGTCTGCCAGTGTTCCTCTGCCACCTGCTAACAAAAGTCTAACATGTGTCCGGTATACCAATCGTAAGCTTGTCGCTCGGTCGCCCAGGTACGCAGACTGCTCTACCGCGACGACTTCTTATCTCACAGTACCTTCTGCAAATCACCAAGTCGTCTTGTCCCTTTCCGAACACCATCCGGTAATTTCGTACAGCAGGGAAACCAACCCTGAGCTTCATGAACTCAGGTGGGCCCACTCTCTGAAAACGTCTAGGAGCTCGTCGGCTGAAACGTTTGCGACGAGAGATTACTTCTACTGACGATTGGTAGATTCCTGCTGTACTTGCTCCCCTGTGGAGTTTATTCTTATTCTTATAGCGAATAAGAAGAATTTTAGTTTTACGCGGTTAGTTTTGGCACTTCTGGCAAAATCCCTATGTGTTTTATTGTGTGTATGAACCTCCAGATTTGGCTTAAGTCTCCGTAGTTTCGCTTATTACTAAAAGGTACAAATGAAAAACATATTGTCTGATTTTTACTAGCATAGAAGCGGAAAAGTTACTAGATTAGCTTTTGCCGTAAAAGTGGTCTAGCGAGTAATAAGGAAATAACTGTTTTTCGTGGCATTAGGAC